GTTACAATGGAAACGCGTCTTAAAAACGATGCTTAATCCAAGAGCTTACTTTAAATGGAAAGGATTTTTTTTTCGTTTTTTTTCTTATTGTTTGGATTTTCATCTTTGCAGTTCTTTCCTGTGTTAAAAAACTGTTTACGCGGAAACGCAGTCTGAAAATAAGAAAGAGTGAACTGCTTTTTGGTAGACTTAATTGTAGACGGTTGTTTCATTTTTTTTGTAATGATCGACATAATGAACTAATAAACTAATCGTATCAGAGCTAACCCTTGAATGTTTCGACTGCCTTATAAGGTCTATGGAGCTGCAATAACATGAAAAAAATAAAAGTAACAAAAGTAAAATGGTTTTTTTAATTTGAGTTCTTTTATGTAAAAAACATCCCCCCACACGCCATATAAAAAACACGTGATAAATTTTGCTCCTAGTATCAAATCAATTTTGGCAGCTAAGCTTCCTTCAATCAATTTAGAACAATTTCTAAGACGGATTAATTCTCCGTTAATAGCGCGAAATACATCGCGCGTTAATTTTCCTAAGTTGGCAAATTTTTTTAAATCCCCTTTATTCTATAAAAAAAGATCCCAAGTGAACTTTTTTTCAAATTTAAGCTCAGGAAAACAATACTTTTTTTGAATGGTATGAAAAAATTCCAATAAAAATGGCTAGTTAAAAAGTCGAAATTTGTCTGAAGAAAAAAAAATCACCTCAAGCACAAATATTCCATTAATTTCCTTAGGAAAGTTGAAACCCTTGTTAGATTTCGTCAAACGAAACTTTTCGAAAACAAGTGGAAATGATCTGCAATAAAATTTTTCTTTTCTCTGCAAGTTAACATTTCATATTTTCGCAGAAGTAGATTTTGTTGGCAGCGGACTTGAATATATATACTGAACATGGACATAAAAGTACATGGGAAGGTTGCCTACAATTTTTGTTGCAAAATCAATATGAACTACTGTTTAAACGTTTTTCCCAAGCTTCGCTTTTTGTAAACAAATCAATGTTTTGATTAAAATTTTATGTTTCTGCAAAAGTTTTTGGTTGAGCCGTTATATTAAAAAAGATACTCTATCCCACAAGTAATTTCAATGTCCTTTAGTGTCGTTTATTGTCCAGTAATCCGTTATTTAGGTCTTTTATCGCCTCAAATCAGTTTGGAGGGATTAACGAGTTGATTAATTTGCTGCTTACACTATGCGTTAAGAAAAATTTAGCACATATTGCAGGTGATTTGTGATTTAAATTTGAAAATGTTTTTTTTTTAAAAGATAACCACATTTGGGATTTTGTTTTTCAGTTTTTGAGCTCAAA